TATATATATATATATATATATAGGTTGTATTCCAAAATCTACTACTAGTACTAAAAATTTATAATGCACGTAACGTAAACTATAGATTTTCACTGCTAAAACTCAGCAATAAATTTTGGAACATAGCCATACTATACATTTGCATACATTTTGTTTTACTTTTTTGTTAATTTTGTAACCAAGAATTGTTTTTTTTTAATTAAAAAGATTTTTTAATCTATTTTATGGAAGGCCACCCCTTTTTTTTGAATTATGCAATACGTCGCCACATTTTTATAAATAATGTCTTAAGTAATAAATTTTTCAATATTTTGAATCTAGAATCAATTAAACAATACTATGACAAATATAATGGTTAAATTGTAAATTTAAGTATTAACCAAGGATGCAATCCACTTTACGCTACAAATGCATTCTTTGATTGATCAATTTGTAAAATTCTTTTTTCTGATTGATCAAACGAAGCATTTGCAGGGTTAAATAGATCCCCCACACTTACACACAAGTTATAATATAAATGAGAATCCATAAACCACTTTCTTCTCTACTGTTATAATAAATAAACAATTCTTATAATTTCTTACGCTTATAGGAAATGAATATGGTAATGTTTAAGGACAATGATACAAAAATTGATGGTATTTTTGGCCAACTGTGGTACCTTCTTGAGGATTATCTCAATTTTACGTATGTTAAAATGTTACAGTGACTATTTTCTTTACGATATACATTTTGATATAATTGATAAAATTTCTTACATAATGTATGTTTGGAATTTTATACTCTGCATTTGTTTATATTGCACGCAATGACATTTATTGACGTACGTAACTTTAAAAATTAAAATCAAAGAGTAAAACAAATGCAAAGGGAGGATGGCAGAAACATCAACAAAGCTTTTATGAGGCAAAAATTGAAACAATAAAATATAAAAGAAGCTTAAACACCTCTTTTATGTTTTTTTGTCTTAATTTTCGCTTTCTGGAAACTTCGTTTATATTTCTATTATTCTCTCCTTACATGTGACTTATCCATTTAAATTTTTACTTTTGCTACAAAAGTCAAGGTATTACGTTCCTCAGATTCATCCCAATAAAATCAACCGATCGAAATTTTGGTGAGTTGCTGGAAAATGGTAGTCATAGCGGTTTGCTTGGCATGCTCGAGCGAAATGAAGCGCAAGTAATCATGAGAAGTACATTCTATTTGGCTCGCATGAACGCAGTGGATTATATAACGCCTCCTTGGAAAAGCACGTGAGTTTATTCATCAAAGTATATACATAATAATAAATAACAAATGAGAAGTTATTCATTAATACAATTTAAAAAAAAATTAACTAAAAATATTTTTGTGAAAACAAGAATTAGCAATTTGATGATGTTCAATATAAAATAGAGTAAAAGATTGTTTGAAATTAAGCACTTAACGGTTGAAATTTAGATAAAATAAAATATCATTTTCTTGCTTTTAGCAAAAATTAGAAACGATTCGAGAATCTTTTCATTTGCAAGATACAGTTGTTATTAATAAATTGATGTTTTAGGTACTACATTTATGTTCATCCGAAATGGCTGTATGATAATACATGGGTATTTACGCTATTTTCATGGCAAACATGGTTGTATATAATATTTTTGTTCATCATTTTAAGTTGCGTTGGTTATTTTCTGCAGAAAGTATCGATAGGCAAAACTAAACACAAAAGAAAAGGCTCCGTAGGTTTCAGCCTAGGCGATCATTTTTTCTATTCATTCACCATAATGAGCGCACGAGGTACATAATACAATTAAAAAAAAGAAATTAACCAAAAGTGTATTTTGTGAAAACAAGAATTAGCAATTTGATGGTGTTCAATATAAAATAGAGTAAAAGATTTTTTGAAATTAACCACTTAACGGTTGAAATTTGGATAAAATATCATTTTTTTACAGGCTACATACCCAACGTTTTTTATAGCAAGTTCAAGATCTTGACATTGTCAAAGACTATATTTGCGTGGTTAACACTGTTAGCCTTTAGTTCTCATCTCATATATCGGATGACATACAGAGAGCAGATGCTGTCGTTTCAAGATATAGATTCTCTTTTTAATAATACAAAATACATCTTACTGGTATATCGCGGCAGCTCTTTTGCCTCTTCTTTAAATGTAAATATTGAAGATTATTTATACATATATGTAGAAAAATCTCTTTTCTATTAGAAATATTAATCAGCTATTAAAAAATAATATTTCATCGATTTATGTTTTCGTTGCACTAAAACAAAGTTTCTGTAATTTAAAAAAGCAATTTAAAAATAAAGTAAAGAAAAAAATCATATTGAAAATACATTACTTTTAATTATCTTGTATAATTTAAAACATCTGTGATAAATAATACAAACATATTTAAGTATAAATTTACAACTTATTATTTTTAGTTTACATATGGAGACTTGGTTGGCGAATATCCATCTGCGCGTATGAGTTTTATAGATATTGCAGAAGACATGTATAGTACAATTTGTTCTAACTTGACGGAATATGCGATATTTGATGGCGACGATCGATTTATGGCATTAAGCAGAAAGTGTCAGCTTCGAGCCACGAGTAAAGCCAACACAACCTGGATAACAATCGCATTTCAGAAAAATTACCGTTACAGAAAGAACTTCGAATATGCGTGAATATTGCATAAATTAACATTATACTTATTATTATTTAAGAAATTACTATTATTAAACTATTACTAATTAAAAAACTAAACTACTAATTAGCTCAAAGATTATTTAACGATCTCTCCTTTCCAGAATCACCAAATTCAGAGAAGTTGGACTGCTTGATGATCTTAAAAATACTTGGTTTAATGGCAAACTGGAAGAAATAGACCAAGAAATATTCAACCCGATTGATTTCCATCAAGTCTATTTCATTTTTTTAATGTTATATTACGGGATCCTAATATCATTTGTGATACTCATTCTGGAAAATATAACATACTATTACAAAATAAAGAATATACGGCAATTTAGATGTAGATAAGCACATTTTGAAAATACTTAAAAAAAGATATGATTAAAATTCAAATCTTATAACTTTTTAAATATTGTAATAATTTTTTCAGTAAATTTTCTTATGTTTCTTGAGAGTTTATTTTATTTCTTTATTTACATTATTTATAATATATTAGGTGATTCCATAAGTCCCTAAGATCAAATTTAGATAAAACACAAAACATGTAAATACTCATAATTCTTTTGCTCATTTTTTTATAACATTATCTAATTTGCATTTAAAGCTTAACTTATATTTTTAATTTTATTAAAATGAAAATCGAAAAAAGTATATATATATATATATATATATACT